AAGAACCAAGTGGAAATTTTAGAATGTAGAGTCATCTAAATAATAAACTCAGTGGAAGGAGAGAGTAGAGTAGAGGAGATGGAGAGAAAGGGGACTTTGAATAACATCAGATTTCTCCTCAGGAGTCATGGAACTTGGAGAGAAATGGCATGGCATTTTTCAAGTGCTCAAAGATGAAAACTGCTGACTTGGGATTTTATACCCAGCAAAACTATCTTTTAGGGACAAAGGGACAGCAGGATATGTCAAATGTAGGAAACTCCAAGAGTGCCAGCAGACCCACCCAAAGAAAATGGCTGAAGGAAGCTGTTAGCTGGGTGTGGTAGAGCACATCTGTAATCCTAGTACTCAGGAGGCTGAGGCAGAAGATTGCTGCAAGTTTGAGGCCAGCCTGGGCTACATAGCGTCCAAGACCAGCCTGAACTGCACAGCAAGATTCTATCTTTAAAAAAAAATAAATAAAGGAAGCTGTTAAAACAGAAAGAATATGATTTTTAAAAAAGAAAGCTGGAACATGAAAAGAGCAAAGAACACAATAAGCCAAAATATAGATAAATCAAATAAGTTTCTCTCTCCTTTTGATTTTCCTAAATTATGTTTGATGGTTGAAGCAGAAATTCTAACTCTGGCTGCTTTGATGCTTGTTAGGTAGAAGACAAATTTAGGATGGTTATGAAAAGAGGAAGGAAAGCAAACAGACATCAAGGTAGCTAAGATTTCTTAACTGGAAAACATGACAGCAGTAGCTCAACTCTCCTGCTAGTTTGACGTTCTTGTTGCCTTCTTTTGTAAAACCTTATAATAAAAAATATTGACAGGAAGTTTTGTTGCTGATATACATTACCATATTCTGTATTTTACATATGGCCCAAGGCAGTTCCTCTTCGATGCAGCCCAGGAAAGCTAGGAGATTGGGCCCCGTGAACCAGACAGAAAACCCACAAGTTATAATGATATTTACATAGTGTGCCACAGCAGCACCAGGTCCAAGGGCCCAGAACACACAGCAACATAGACCACGTGCTGGGTCAGGAAAATCTCTCAGCAAGGTTTCAGAAGGTCAAATCAGAGCATGTTCTGTGACCACGATGGAATCCAGCTAGCCACAGTAACAAAAATAACAGGAAAATATCCAAACACATGGAAAAAAACACTTTCTAGTAATCCATGGGTCAAAGAAAAAGTCTCAAAAGAAATAAAAATACATTGAATTAAATTACAATATATAGTATAGGAAAACATGCAGGAAATAGCTAACACCGCACCCACACCAAGGAGGAGCTTGCAGTATTAAGTACAAATGTTTGGAAGAGAAACAGTCACCTCAGCTCCCATATCTAACAACCTAAAAGAGAAGAGCAAGACAAATCCAAATTAAATAAAAAGGAGAAAGTGATAAAGGGCAAAAATGAATGAAATAAAAGTGGATGGAATCAGTGCCATTTGGATCTGGTTTTTGAACAAGTAAACTGTCAAGCCTCTAGTGGGGCTGATGGAGAAAGGAGGAGGGAAGCCACATATTATGAACACCAGGAATGAAACAGGATGTTCTAGACCACGGATCATCTGCACAGATTCCCAAATACAAATTACACAACTTAGAGGAAATGGACCAGCTTCTCAAAACATATAAACTACCTTGATTTGCCTTATATGAAATGGATAATTCCAACAGTGCTCTAACTAGTTTAATTATAATTTTTAAAAATGGTAAAACAAGAGGTTTTTCTGAAAAGTTAAGGAAGAGTTCGTACCATTGCACTACTCAGCTTTCATCCACCGTGGTGAGATTCCTAGCACAGGGGGGTCTATGGCCAGTCACATGGCTCTCAGTTGTAGAGACCCTGAGCCATGGTTGGCTACCAGTTGCCCTTGGCTGGCAGCAAGGGTGCAAGAGCTGATAGGAGTGTGGGGTGCAAAACTGCTACCTTAGGGCCAAGAAGCAAAGGAAAAAATGTTGGAGACTGCCCTAATGATTGTGCCCAAAGCAGGCTGTAAGTAGGGCAGGCTATAAAGAGTTAACCCCTCAATTGGCTCATTTTAAGAAGTGAGTCTGACTGAAGCTTATGTGACTCAGAAGCACCTCAGAAGCACCACAGTAGCATGCAGGTTAGCATGACCTTCCTGATAACAGCCACAGCAGAGACCAGAGAAACGACCTGTGAAGCTGTGGGGCTCAATATGAGATAACGTAGTAGCTGAGGTGGGAGTAACTCAAACCCAAATTCCATTCCCATGACTAAAACCTTCTTAACTAGAAGGACAAGGCTCTGATTACAACCCTATATTTTATCTGTTCTGTTTTTAATTCAAGAATGCTTTGTCTTTTCCTTTATAAGCTTTACCTGCATTAGCATCCATAGCAACTGTATAACAGCAGGTCTTCACACATAGTCCCCCTTAACCCCAATCTGATTACCAATAAAAATCAGTGGCTTGAACTGACCGGGGTCTTTGCTGGTTGAGCAGCACTGGCTGTCCTGGCTCCCCATTTTTTTCTTTAATTCTGTCTTTGAGTCTTTCTTTAGCCTTGCATTGTACACTGGACAGGACACTGGAACCTACTGCAGAGGTCTCTGGTAGAAAAAGACAAGGCCTGGGGCTCCACAATCCCCTTGGAGTACAAGGTTTATTGCTCCAGAACTTCCCACAAGGCCTATGGGAGCGGGCCTGTGGTCCCAAGCCCAGCACCATAACCACACTTATCCTTCTGCTTATTAAGACAGCATGGTGTGTTGCGGAGGCAGCGGCCTCAAACACCTGTGTCTGCTGCATCTCTTGATCATATTGTTTCTCTCCTATGGCTGATCTCATCTCCTGCTGTCTGTCTGTCTTGCTCTGGAAGCAATGGCGTCTGCACTGTGAGAGTAGCTGCACATGAGCCGTGTAGTCCAGGTTTGTGCAGGGGGCCCTGCAATGCTGCCTGATGGCCGTGTCTCAAGAGCACATTCTCCTGCTCATCACAGGAGCACGATGTACTCACGGCCATTGCTGTCATCGCTGCTGTGACTGTCCATGTTGCTGTACTGGGCTTTGCCATTGCCTCCATCTACCACCCACTTCCTGTTCCTGCTGCCCTCAGTGAGTGCCTCTGCTAGTCACAGTCCTTCCCTGGCAGGGGACCCAAACCTTCCTTTCAGAAAGGGCCTGGGCCCTTTTCAGTCCAGCTGCAACTGGGTTGCTACAGATTTCCATGGACATCAATCCCAGGTCAGGCAAGTAGCAAGGGATAGCCTAGTAACTCTCCTGTGTCTGTCCTTCGGCAGAGCTGGCCTCAGAGCCTCAGGGCCACAGGCCAGCCCTTCCCCACCCCCACACCCCCATCCTGAGGTTCCATGGTGCCTGCACCCAGCAGGGAAGGTGCTGTGTCACCCAAGCTATAGGTGATGCTCAGAGGTTTTGATCCAGGTCACATAGCAGGTGACAGCCAAGCCCTAATCCACCTCGTTCCATGATACCGAAGTCCTAGGCCCCACGGACCCAAAAGAGCCCAGTGTCTTTGTGTCTTTAGCAAAAGGGGCCTTAAGGAACTTCATAAGGGAGGGAGTCTGTCTGCTACCTGTAAAACAAAATACCTAGCCGGCTGTGGTGGTACATGCATGTAAGTCTTCCTATTTTGGAGGCTGAGGCAGGAGGATTGAAAAAGTTTGAGGTCAGCCTGGGCAGCTTCGTGAGTCCTGTCTCAAAATTTAAAGAAAAAAGAAAGGCTAGAGATGTAGCCTAGTAAAGCTTTTGCCTACCATGTAGGAGGCTCTGCGGTTTAGTCTCTAGTACTCAACAAACACACAAAGCACTGGCTACTTTATAAAGGAAAATGGTTTGCTTAGCTTGCAATTCTGGAGGCCAAAGCCCAGGGCAGGACAGCCAGTTAGCTAAGTCCTGGTGAGGTCCCTGTCTGCAGCCCGGGACCTAGAGGGACATGGTGATAGGTGCACTTGTGAGGGACTGGTCCCAGGATTGACGGGAGGCCAGAGTAGGGGTCAGACTCCCCACTCCCCTCCCATCAGGCTCCCAGGGGAACCACACAAATGCTTCCTGAGGGTCAGGCCCCCACCCTGTGACCCCAGCTCCCCCTTTTTCCACCCTTGAAGACTCAGATGCTTCCTACACCCCCATGCCAGGCTCAGCGCCCACAAAGGATTCCCCAGGACGCAAAGCACCATTTATTTAGTCAAGGGTGGTGAGCTGTTCTAGGAGCTCGTGGCTGCAGGATCCGCCTGGAGACGGCATGCAACTGAGCCAGGGAAATCAGTTCACCGTGAGACTCCACTGGGGTGTTTAGGAAAAAATTGGTGTGTGGAGACCGAGTTTGCCCAGTGCTAGCTCGGAGTGGAGCCCAGACAGGCGGCTGAGTCTGAGGGCCTTCCTGGAGGGCTGGGTGCCCCTCTCCCCTCTGTGCGCAGGGATGACATCCCCGCTCCTCACACTGTCTGACCTTGGTATGAATCTGCCCTTTCTGAACCTACATAGCCCGGTGCCCACTGTGCTGTTCCAAGCAGCAGCAGAGGCCTTTGAGGACAAATGGATGTGCTCTTGATGCCCCCTTCTGCAGATGGAGAACCCTGTGTAAGGACTGTCCTGAGAGTGAGGCTGGTGACCAGTGCCTGCTCTTGCTCTCTTGTCCCAGGACCTCTGCGTGTTGGCTGTTAATAGCAAGACCTTGGTGACTTCCACTCTGAGGCACTCAGTGGGTGCCCAATAGATGCTGTAGGGACAGCCCTGAAGCACACACTCTGACTCCAATCTTGGTGGGCTGCTCGGTGACAACAGCCTTGTGCCAGTCAGAATCCTCCTTGCTCATCCCTGCCCTCATTTTCACCGTGGCTTTACATAACACAGCTGGCTTTCTTCTCCTTAAAAACAAAACAAAACAAAAAACTAACTCAATTACTCTGTGAATATTTATCAGAACCAAAGGAATGAAAATAAGCTCCCAGAGTACAGAAACCCAGATGTTTGGGGTTAGTTTTCCAACACAGTGCTCAACTATTTTACTTATTTACTGTTTTTCTTTAGAAACGAGGCAGCCTGTGCTGTGATGTGGATAGAGGCCCTGTCCTCACGTCCCCTGTCCCTGGGGATCATGGGCATCCTAGGCCGGCACCCCGGGTGGCTGAGGCGGGACAGGCAGACAATGGGAAACAGTTGCGTGGCCCACACCGTCTCCTCGGCTCGAGAAGGAGAGGGACAGGCGGCGATGGCTGGACAAGGAAGTCCCTCGCCACTCACCAGGCAGAGCAGATCTGCCTGGCTCGGGCGTGTGGTCACTCAGCAGGGTCCCACCCGCCACACTGAGCCTTGTCCTCCTAGACCCTGGAAAGGATGGTGCCCAAGGATCCCTGGAGGGCTGCACTGCGATGGCCTCGAGCTCCACTTCACCGTGCTGCCCATAGCCTTCCTTGGCCCCGAAAATGCCACTCAGGGCAGGAAGAGGAGCTGGCCCGGGCCCTGGGAGGCAGGTGGCATCTGTCCCGAGGAGGCTGCATGTGCCATGCAGTACCCCAGCAGCTGCAGAGTACATGTTCACGAGTGGGTGAGTCATTCCAATCAAACTATCCCTGCAGAAGCTGCTGGCAGGCGATGGCTTACCGGCTTCTGTGCCCGCGCTTTGGCAGCCGGTGCTCCAGGCTGTGGCACAGCCTTTCACTGCTCAGTCTGGAGCCCAGGCATTTGGAGCATTTGGAGCTGTTTGGGCAGCCTCTGCAGACCCTGCCACGGCCCTCACCACACGCCGCTATCTCCCATGACTCAGATGTGCCAGCTATTTGGGTCTCCATGGCTCTGTCACGTCCTCAGGCAGGCGGGCCCTTCATCCCCAGACGTTTCCTTCACCTCCCCGAGCTACTCTTCCCCACCAGGACCTGCTTTGCTCTTGTCACGGTTTTCACATAGCTGGGCTTGGCTGCTCCTGCTTGCTTGTTTGCCGGGTCACGTCTCCCCCAACCCTGCTTCCGGGGCCTCCCGTCCCCAAGCCAGAGAGTGGTGCATGAATGTGAGTCCATGGGGGCTGTGTGGCCTCCAATGGGCCTTCCTGTCCTCTCAGTTCTCCCTTCTATCAGCCACACTGCTCTCAGGGACAACTTGTAAAAATGAATATCACGTCATGGCCTGTCTCTGTAGTAGGCCGTCTAATAATGGCCCTTGCTCTTAGAATAAACCCAGACTCCCTTCTACTGCCCCAAGACCCACCAAGGGTCCCTTGCTGCTCCCAGCCCCCATCCAGAAGAGCAGGCCACCTGAGGACCACCAATGTGACCCCAGAGGACACCACTTGGTGCAGGAGGTGTTTATGCATTGATATCAGAAAGCAGGTGCTGTTCCAGGAATTCTCTTCGAACAAAAGAAGGAGGCCATGAATACCTGACACCCAGAGGCTGGGAAGCCATCCAGACCCCTCCTGTCACCCTACAAGGTGGTACCCTCCTGTGACGTGTGCCTGGGTAGAAACAACAGACAGGTGCCAGACATCAAGAGGGCGCAGCCTTTGGGCAGAGGTCACAGAAGAGAGAGATTTCGGTGCTGGTCCTGGCCTGGCTGAAAACCCCTGTGAGTGTCAGAGGAGGTGCAGCTGGCACCTCATCCAGCCTGTGGTTTCTGCTGCTGTCTCCACCATTGCGATTCCACACAAATTCTGCAGTGGGGAAGGGAGCTTGGGCAGCCTGAGGGTCACACTGAGGTGGAAGATTAGGAAGCCACCACCTTGCATCCTCTTCTCAGACGCACCTACAGATTAGCATCAGAGTAACCAGAAAGCAGCACCAAACACCCACGTGATGTCAAACAAGGTAGTGACGAAAGTCACAGTGGCCACCTTTTCCATAGGACTAACAAGGTATTTCAGTTTTCGGTGGGGAAGCACAGTCCACAGCCTGTCTGCTTTTCTGATCTGGCCTCTTACCCAAGCACTCGGGGTGCTCTGGGGCTCAGTGGCACTCACTTGTGGCCACTGTCGGACCCAGTCTAGCACCCCTCGTGCATGCTTCCGGCTATGCCAGCAATTTCCCTGTTCCACTGACCTTGGTCCCCTTCCTCTCATCTCCCCCATGGAATCCAGATCCTGTCCTGAGCCCTTCTGTTCCGCTGGTCCCCGGTGCCCAGGGGATCGGCCTTGGGCCTAGGGTCTCTGAGCAGAGCCGCTGAGCAGTCACGATGCCATTGCAGAGAGCAGGACAGACAGGGTCTCCCTCAGGCACTGTGCAGCTCCTCAGCGACATCCTGGTCCTCGCTTCCTCTTTGCCAGCACACCTCCGAGGACAGACACTCCTTCTTCCTGGATTGGCCTTTTCACTTTCTGACAACTTTATCAGAACACTCGAGCTGTCACCAGGCTGAGAGCCTTGGCGTCATCTGCTTCCTGCAGCACGATGACAGAGTGCAGGAGGCTGCGGCAGCTGTCAGCTGTGCCGCCCACCACTTGCAGAGGCCAGCGACTGGTCTGCGATGGACTCAGTCACTTCTGCCTTTCGCCAGCACAGCCTTGGCTTCTGCCGCCGCCATTCACACTCAGCAGATAACTGCTGGCCTCAGTGGGTCTGATGCATGACGGGACTCTGGGCTGGCCAGATATAGCCCATTATCGCCACAGTTCCAGTGTGCAGGCTCATTGAGGGCTTACAGGACACTTCGTCCACACCAGAGGCCGTCCTGGGAATGTGGGTGTTGGGTTTCACACGGAGGAATGGAGGCTGTGGAGATAGTGGGGTTGCTTATCAACCACGTTTCCAAGTGAGGTCAGACATCAACACCACGGCCATCTCAGGTGAAAACAAGTTCTAGAGCCCCAGGACGGGAAGATTCTAGAGATACTGTGGATAGAGAAAATGAGACCCAGCAAAGGAACCAGAGGGGACCGTGGTCTCTCTGGAGGCCACGCAAGACTCAGGTTTCCTAGCAACAAAAGAAGGCCCCTTCTCCTTTGCAAGCTGGACCAGGGATACAGAGGGCAGCGGATTGGCTTGGCCATCACAATGCTTCATACAGAGAGGTTCAGAGTCAGCAATGAGCTTTTTCTTTAGAATTCCAGTTCATAACCCTGATTTCTGTATGGTGTCTTGAATGTATCCCTGAGATCCAGTTGAAAATGGGATAAGTTCATTACTTGTTAACCAGGCACGGTGGTGGACATCTGGAATCTTAGCTCTTTGGAGGCTGGGGCAGGGGGATCGCAATGAGTTCAAGGCCAGCCTGGGTGACACAGTTAGTTCAAGGCCAGTTTAGACTACACAGTGAGACCTTGTCTCAAAAAACTAAAAACAAAGGGCTGGGGATTTAGCTCAGTGGTTCTACTGCCTGCCTCGCAAGCACAAGGTCCCAAGTTTGATCCCCGGTACCAAAAATAAAATAAAATAAAAACACACCAAAAAACAACAAAAATCCATCACTTATTGATTTAATCTCTCAACTTTTTTTTTTTTTTTTTGGTACCAGGGATGGAACTCAGGTCCTTGCGCTCGCGAGGCAGGCAGTGGCATAATCTCTCAATTTTACCAGAGCACAGCCCCATCTGTTCCTTTGGCAGGCTGGCTCCAAACATAGGACAACAGAGTGAGCTGTGCACATAGTTCCCTCTTCCATGAGCTTGTTGTTCTGAATGGGGAGATGGGCAATAAGCAGAGAGAACACTGGGGGAACAAAGCAGGTGAAGGGCATCAGAAGGGCCGAGGGAATGGGTGTGGTGTGGACAGCAGGGTGGTCACGAAAGGTATTACGGAGAGGCTGATGTGCAAAATTGGAAGAAACATAGGGTATGGGTTGCGGGTATTGTGGGAAGCTCTGCAGAAGGAGCAACCATTGCAAAGGTCCTGGGACAAAAAGCAAGTGGCATTATCCCAGGAACATCGGTGAAGCTGGGGAGCAGAGGAACAGGGCTGATTGCGCAGGGCTTGTGCATCACTGTGGGGACTTGGGTTGTCCTGTGTGTGTGGTGGAGGTCGCTGGAGTATCTTGAGCAGAGGAGTGAGATAGCCTGGTTGACTCTTTGGAAGGTCACTCAGGCTGCAGGGCTGAGAAAGAGCAGCAGGAAGGCAAGGGCAGAAAGACCAGTTCCTACAATGTGGTAGACTCTGCCTGGCCGAGGAATCAGGGAAACCAGCATCTGTGGCCCAGGCTCAGAGTCACAGTTGCTGCTTCCTGTGGTAGGGGAACAGCGAGCACAGCAGAGTGGCATGAGAGTTGGGAATCTATGTGGGCTGTGGTTTGGACCGGAAACGCCCTGGAGGCCCACATGGAGGCCTGATCACCAGCTACGGTGCTAGACAAGGTCATGCAGCCTTCAGGAGGCCTTGTGGGAGGAATCTGGGTCTCTGGGAGCATGACCTTGAGGGGGCACTGGCATCCTGGACCCTTCTTGTTGTACTTCTTGGTCACTACGAGGCCCGCATCTTCTCACCATGATGTTCTGGGTCACCACGGGTCCAAAGGCAATGGAGACACAAGCTCTGAAACCATGAGCCAAACCACTCCTCATTGGAAATTGGTCCTATTAGGTGTTTGGTCACTGAAGCAGGACTTAAAGAAAACAAGTTCCTCCCAGCCTTGGGCATCCCCTCCCATCCCCCTTCTCTCTCTTATAGCTGTAACTCCTTGTTCTGGTACAAATAAAATTGACAACTATGTTCCGTAAACAAAGTTTATGACACCCTGTTCTCATATGATTCATAAGACACTGTCTTCTTACAAGGCTAAATTACAAAGCTGCCTGTCCTTGTCCTGTTCTTGTAAACTAATATGCTACGGCACTAGAAAGACCAACCCCCTTTGACCAAATGTATAAAAACTGAAACGTCTCTTTGTTTGTTCCTTTTCCTTTGCACAGGAGTCCATTGAGCCAGTGTTTACCTAAAATAAATCCTCCTGATTCCTGTTGGTCTCTCCTGTCTTTTGGAATTCTGCAACATCAACAATGCAAAACTGACCAACACATTTGGGACAGGCTTGGTTTGACATTAGAAACATGTGACTATTTCAATTGAAAAATTTTTTTACAGTAGAAGACTTTCTTTAACCTCCCTCGAAGTCCCTACCCCTCTTTGAACACACTTATCCCGCCATCCCTGCCACTTCCTGAAGCAGTAGTCAGAGCCCTCTTTCCTGTCTTTAGTCGCACTGTCCTGGTTTCCTCAGTGTCCTGAACCGTCGCTTCAAAACATTTTCCTTTCATGGTCATTTTGACTCTGGGGAAGAGCCAGGAGTTGCACAACGCAGAGCCAGTGAATAAGGTGGATGAGGACACAGCATCGCAGTTTCACTAGCCTGACTTTCATCTGGATGGCACTTGGCAGCAGTGTTCACTGTCCTTTGGATCACACGTTGTAAAGACAGCCAGGAAAGAGGACTCCAGAGCTTCTGCAGAAAGCGTCAAAAATAATGGGACCAGTGCATTCAGAGCGAGCGGGAGGACTTTGAGGAGGATTCACAGCAGTTTCTTCTCACGGTCATAACTTTGAAAAGTGTAAACATTCACTGTATCTTTCGATGGTCCCTGTCTAATCCTCCAGGCGGAGACCACAGCGGGGTGGGGTGAGCAGTGGAGCACATCGTCTGGGAGTCTGAGAAGAGGCCTAGGTCAGAACGTGGCGTGGAGGCCGTCAGCTTGCAGGAGGTGCTTATAACTGTCTGGCCTAGACGGACGCCGGCTTTGTCAGGGATGGTACGCGTGGAGGAGGAGCGGGGCTGAGCCCTAGGCCCCCGCACAGCATTTGGAGGTCCAGGCAGTGAGGAGACACCGGTGGAAGGACTGAGAGGGTTGGTGAGTGAGGAAGGAGTCGCTGTGGAGGGCAGCAGACGGCGCTTCCGAGAGGATGGGGCTGGAGCTGTGTCTGAGATGACAAAGAGAAATACATGGGTTCGGCAGCTTGGAGGCCAAGGCCAGTCTCAAGGGGAAGCTTGGGCGGCACCATGGGTACAGAGAGCCCGATTCCAACCCTGGGAGGACAGCAGCCGGAGTCGGAGGTAAGGTGGTTCTTTTCCTTTCATTTCTTTTTGTATTGCTGGGATTGAACCCAGGGCCTCCCAGCAAGCTACGTCTCTACCCTCCCCACCTCCCGCTCCTCCCCTCTGCCTTCCTCTTCCTCCTCTTCGCCTTATTCCTTCTCCTCTTCCTCCTCCACATCCCTAGCTCCTCCTCTTCCTCTTTTCCCTCTTTCTTCTCCCTTCTCCTTCCTCTCCCGCTTCTCCCTCTTTCTCTTTTTCTCCTTCCTCTTCTCCTTCCTTTCTCCTCTCCTCCCCTTCCTTCCCCTCCTCCCCTTCCTCCCTTTCTTCTTCTTCCTCTTCTTCCAGGGTCTCACTAAGTTGCTGGCCTCAAACCTGTGTGTCTCCTGCCTCAGCCTCCCGTGTAGCTGGGATTATGGGTATGTGACACTGAGCCTGGCCAGGATGGTTCTCACCTGCGTGGGCACAGTGGGGCTGCT